GATTGTCATGGAGATCTCGGAGGAAAAGCACACGCTATTTGGATGTTTACAGATCAGCGTTAACGCTCATTGCTCTGGGCAGCATTTCTGTACGTGCTTTCCCCCCAGGCCGGCTCCGCGAGTATGTGACCAAAAATACGCTCTACATGTGATGCCGATAGACAGGCAAATGCGTCAAAAGAGTTGCATCCAGTCCCAAAGTTCCAATCAATGTCTGAATTTTTCAAGACGCTATGCTATAACTTATCACGGGACTACCGAAAGGTGTTTGTCCTGTCAAAATAGCCAAGTCTTCGGCCTCCAAACGAGTCGAGTCGTTGAGTTCATCCGGATCGCTGCTTGCCAAGGCGACATGTTCAGCGGGTTACAAGGACGCCGAGCTCCTTTATGCGTTGAGAAACGCCTTGAACACGACACACAGCTTTGACAAGTCGCTTGACGATGTTCACTAAGTTGAAAGCCCGCCGCCGGCGGTGAAAAACAGTCCGCATAGTGCGGGCTGTTCATGGATGCACCACCAAATTTGAAAATTTGTGATAGGGCTTAGCATCAGCCCAGTTATCATGGAGAAATGGAGTCTAGAGCTTCTATTCCATGGCAAGCAGGGAACCGGTTACAAGACCGCTTCGAGGCCTTCCTGGTCACAATAGGGGGCATACACTGAGTGGGCTAGAGGAACTCTATTTTTGCACTGACGCTACTCCGCATCTCCGCTTGATTCCATGGCAGCTGAGAGCACGTACGTCCCCTCAGTCCGACTTGAAGAGCTTCAATTCGTAAAAGGCAAAGTTTCGAGCCCAGTGCACATTTCGAAAAGAAATCCTCGTGGTAGGTAGTCGGAAATTGGTCGATTCAACTCGCCAGTGTCATCATCAACCAGAATGCCTTCAGAGTTGTATCGGAGAGCTTTTCCGCATGTGCATGGATCCTAGTTGTCAAGCATTGCCAGTGTCGATCCCTTGTCCCGCCTGGCCGGTTTCAGAAGTAAAGAATTGGATTCTACAGTCTTCTTAACATGCATGCTAAGAAGTCCACAATAACCTTGTTAATTCACTTCACGAAGCATCGAATACGGACTTGGCAGCTGAGAATAGCATCGGGCATTCGGCCTTTGTACTGCCAAAGTGTCCGCTCGGCGCCGACTACCATGGAAAAGGCTGGCCTTACTTGGCCAGGCGTAATATGGATTCAATCAAGAGGCTAAGCGAGGTGATGGATTGGCATCATCAAAATTGATATTGAGGAGTGATCATGATGACCGTACATGGAATAGGAACAGTTCCGTTAGTGTCATGATGTTATAAAAGTCTTTGCTTGTCCTCGAAAATATGTTGTTCTTCTCATCATCACCTCAATCAGATCAGTCTTCCATCGCAACAACGAGTTGTACTTCCTTCATTTTTTTTTGTGCTTTTTATTCACTCACTTAGGAACTTTCCTACCACTTTCACTTACAACCAATTTTTCGATTCAAAATGGCCGCTATCGGAGCAGTTGCAACCCTCGGCACCGCCATTGGCAATGTCGCTACCTTTTTGGGGCTCGTCTCATCGGGCATTGGCATCATGTCGGCCATCAACACGAAGCCCAAGGAGGTTGACTTCTACACCATCCGCATGGAAATCGGAGACAACCAAGATGCCGCGGGCAACCCTCCTTCCATCATCCTGTCCGACTTCTCCAACACCCAGATCTTTGGTGTTTTCGAAGGAAATAGTGACAAGCCCGAGGACCAATGCCGCAATAATGGTGACTTGGAACTATTCAAGGGCCTGAAGAACGCTGAGGCGCCTATTCAGAGCTTCAAGACCAACAATGGTTTCAACCTCAAGTCTCTCGATATCCAGCCTGGTGGCAATGCCATCTGCGTCTCCAACATCATTCTCAAGGGAAGTGACACCCAGGCAAGACGCGACGAGGTCTTCATCCCTGTTGGTGACTTGGGCTTCCAGTGCGGCCGCGAGTGGAACTGGGGCGCCGTCCTCAATGGTGTTCGCCAGCGCTGCATCTGGCTTGACGGTCAACCCGACGGCACCAACAAGCCCATCCAGTCCCTTCACCTCGACATGGAGAACCTTGCCGGTATCTTCAATAAGGGCAAGAACGACACACTAGCCAAGACCACCTTTGAGCAGGCTTGCAAGTACGTTACCGACAACGTGGGACAGGTCGCAAACCGCAACAGCTGCAAGGAGTCCTTCAGCAAGCGCTCTCTTTCCGGCAAGAACCAGACCATTGATACTGTTCCCTTCCTTGAGGAGATTTCTGGATTCTTCAATGGCAAGGACGAGTCGCTGACCAAGTTTGCCGGTGCTCCTTTCATCACCTCCGACAACAAGATCTGGGACTCCACCAAGAAGGCCTTCACTGACGTTTCTCCCAAGAGCGTTCCCACCAAGCGCTCCCGTCACTTTGCCCGCATGGAGGAGAAGAGGGGTCTGGCTTCTACCTTGAAGGGCGAGCGCTGCGAGTATGCTGCTAATGGGGCAGCTCCAGTGTGTAAGGTTGTCAAGGAATTCGCCGTTGGCTCTGCCTGATTTCAAACGTTCGGTTCCTTGATTGATTGGATCATTTCTTTGTTTTTTTGTTCAGCCTTGTAGATTGTTTGTTTAGATTTCTTGAATCGCACTTCGCTTTTTAGAAACGTCTGCTGAACCATTTAACGTGTGTTTGCTAATCATTTGTCAATTCACACTCTATCATGGGTCAACTCCTCTAGCTTATGACGAGTAGAAAGTGAAGTACAAGCAGACCAATCATCTATTAAAGCTACGGGACTTTGCAAGTGAGGTGAGATTAAGGTGACACTTCTCTCGGATCGAAAGGGCACTTAACTTTAAGGTGGCAGGGAAGGCAGCAGGGATGGTCCAGAAGAACTTTCAGTTCAGGTTGTGGGGTGCCTACGCCATCAAGAACCTACGGAGTACACAACATGGTATCAGTCGATCATTTGCTTGGGCAGAATTATTCTACCGAAAACACTATAGATCTGGCGCTTGATAACGATTTCCAGAACGAGCCACAGAACGTTTCAATTACCTTGGTGTCCTTGCCTGCATAAGCATCAGGCAAGTCGCGTATGGACCCGACTTCTGCGTTGTCATATTGTTCGAACAGAACTCAAACCCATTCATTAAACAGACCAGAGAATCTCACGTCAGCTTAAATCAAATAGCCGAAAACGTGTATTTCCTCCATTCCCAGCTGATAAGACTGCCGATTGCGAGGGTTTCAGCGAAAGGATCAATGTTCATCGTCGCTTGCCGCTGCTGGGGGGCGAGTCAGCAGCTACCTGACAGACTCACTGTTGGCTTCATGAGGTAATGTTATACTCCTAGTTCAACTAGCAAGACAACCAATCGGGGTAGACTTCCTCTTGAAAGGTGACCTCGAATCCTGAAAGGGGAAACGGCCCCCCTGCGACATCAGACCCCATGGGGCTTAGAGCTTGGGGGTTGTTTAACTTGGCGAGGCAGGCAGCTAGACATTTGTCTTGGCACGTAAGCCGCCAATACTTCACATCGCAGCGGTCAAGACCTCAAAATTTGCCAACGTTAGGAGGCTTATTGAGAAAGAAATTACTACGGGGCATTTCCGATCAGGCAGCCATTATTTTTCTCATTGCAGAAGTTTGCTAATAGTCTGGGCTCGATCATGTTCAGGACGGCCAAGTATAAGTATGATTGTTCTGTGCTTGCATGCAATCCTCACGATCAGAAGTATCACCTCAATCAGCTTGCATCTCCTCATTAGTTAACTCGCCAATCCCAAGTTTTAAACGAAAATCATCCATCCAGTCAACATGGTCTCCCTCAAGAACGTCGTCCTCGCAACTTTCGCCGGCTCTGCACTAGCTTGCGTCGATTTCGTCGCAAGCATCAACAACTTCCAATATGCCACTATCACGCTCACAGACAATGGTCAAAAGGTTTGTAGCGTGAACGGATACGGCGACGTTAATGGCTGGCGTGAGTTATTTTCACCGCACTCTGACATGGCAACTATGCACCAATAGCTAATTGTAATCTCAAACTTAGGTCTGAACTGCCGCTCTGGATACTCAGCATACATGCGCTTCCGTGATGATGTTGTGGAGTACTCTGCGCCGCATGGCTCGTGGACATTTGCGACAAAGTGCGAGTACATGGCTGCACCTGGCGCTGGAGCTGCTGGTATCAATGTTTGCACTGCTAGAGTGTTTGGCTGTTAATTTGTCAGAAAACATTTGGGAGCGCCAAAAAGAATTAGATCAAGTGGATGGAAAAGCCTGAAGCTACCATGAATGCGCTAAGTGTTTATGACGAAACCAGTAGGATGATTAGTTGATGCCAAGCATCTTGAACTCTTTTTTGTTGTTAAACACCATTGACTTTCTACTGTTCCGTAGGACGCTGTGAATCAAAAAGTGCTAGCTGCCTATCGTGGGTCTCTATTCTTACCTCTAGCGGCATTCGGCCTCTGGGACATGGTCAGTCTTTTCTCGACCAGAGTCAGCCGTCTGAAATTTCACAACTTTCTCCATTCTCACTTAGCTCTTGGGCTCTGACATTTGAATCCATAAGAGCCTATGTTGTCATTCAACGTTACATTCTCATGAATTGGATCAATCGTGTCTGTTAATAAGAGTTAAGTCAGCTCGGGCACTAGCAAGAAACATGGAGTTGACGACTAAATCGGGGGTTTCGTCTCCGAGATGCGGAGTCTAGTGGGCCATACCAACTCGGGGGCATTGGATGATTCATGCGTCCAGGTTCAACTCGGGTTGTCCGTTTGTCGTGCTCAAGAGAAGAGCTTGGCAAAGGTGCTGACTTTTTCAGTTTTCAGTAAAGACACTTTGTCCACTTAACTTCGTTCCATGCAGAAATTGTAGACTCAACAACCAAACTCGAGACTCATTGGAATCTTGCGCAGTAACACCGCCTCGAAGCCCCTGCGACCCAGACTTTAGCATTTTGACCCCGCCATTTGAAGTCTTCAACCGCGATTACCCCGCAGAAACCATGGCAAGCACCACCGTCGCGGGGCAGAACTATGATGTCCGCATCGAAGTCATCTCCCAGCCCGAGGACTTTACTCAAGTCACCGAGGTCGTCCGAGACGCATTCGGTCACCAAGCTCGTGATGGTGTCTACCTGTCCATGAACCCCGGCTGGGATACGCCGGAAGGCGTGGTTCGCGGCGCCGGTCGCATGGCTAACCGCTTCAAAACCGTCAACCAGAACAACAAGGGCGACCCCAATGTCGTCTTCCTCAAGGCCACCCTTCCGGATCCCGAAAATGCCGGACAGCGCAGAATCGTAGGCATGGCAATCTGGGCACAGCAGTCCGCCATTGAAGGTCACGGCGATCAGCCACCGAAAGACTTGATCAAGGAGCTCGGGCTGGAGTCCATCTTCCCCGGCAACGAAGCCGAGCAGCGATACGCCGCAGCCTGTATGGGATCGCTGCACAAGCGACGTGAGGAGGTCATCGCAGAGAAGGCGACGGCGGCTGAGCCGGCAGTTTTCGTGCTGGACATGTGCGCCGTGGATCCCAAGTTCCAGGGTAAGGGCATCGCCAAGAAGCTGGTTCAGTGGGGTCTCGATGAGGCGAAGCGACGTGGCGGGCTTGAGCTACTCTTGGAGGCGTCAAGTATGGGTAGACACGTGTATTCCAAGCTGGGCTTCAAGCAAGAAGGTCCAGAGATCGAATATGACGTTGAAGAGCAATTCGCGCACCGAGACAGACCTTCGAATATTTTCATGAGGACTGGAGACGGCCAGTGACGTTCTGAAGGGGAAAAGGGACACAGCTTGGTATTCTAAACAATAGCTCGAACAAAAGATCTGTTCATCCTCGTAATGTCTCTCAAGCTTTGAAATAGAGGTCTTTCAGAAGGGGAAAGCATACGCCCACGTGCCACACGGCGAAGTTACAGCCGATTCTATGACCTTACACATGGATTATGTTCAATGGTATTATTATTGAAACTATAGACGCAAGCAACTATGAAACTATAATGGCCTAAACGGCGTTGGATGTAGTTTCTTGCTTGGTGTGATGTTCGGAGAAAGGTCTCTCATCGCTTGCCTTCTCAGTTGGGTTGCTGTTGTCGGTGTGGACCGATGCTCGTTGGAACGCGGACTCGTCTTTATCCTTGCGAGTGATGTAGCCTGGAGGCACCCACTTGGTGGAAGAGTAGGGCTTGACGCTTGGGTCGCTGTACATTCTGTCGACGTTCTCGAGGGACAGCATTTTCGTCTCGTAGAGGAAGAACCATACGAGGAAAGCGGCGGCTAAGTTGCAACCAGCAAAAACGAAACCGTATGCGAAAGAAATACCGTTGGTCGCGAATGGTGTCAGGAACGAGATGAGGAAGTTGCCCAACCAGTTACCGGCGGTAGCAAGAGATGCCTGCTTGGCTCTAGTTCGGAGAGGGAATGTCTCTCCAATGACGCACCACGCCATAGGTCCCCAGGTCTATAAGATAGATAGTCAGTAAGGAGAATCGTTAAAGTTGGCAGGGGGAAGCTTACGCTAGCAAAGGAAGCAATGAACATGCAGGCCGAGACGATCATCACGATGCCACTGGTTGCGCTGGTTTCGGGAGGAAGGGCAGTGCCGACAGAGGCGAAGATTGTGAGCCAGGCAAACTGCCACAGAGCACCAATAAACATGGGCCAGCGTCTACCGTATCTCTCAACAGCATAGAGACCATAGAAAGTGCACACGACGTTGACGGCACCAAGAATAAGCTGAACCATGATCGGATCGTCAATACCAGCCGACTCGAAAATTTGTGCTCCGTAATAGAAGAAGTAGTTGATACCGGTCCTATGGTGGATGTTAGACACTGTTCTTAGACATTGAAACTTCGGTGGACGGCAACATACCACTGCTGCAGGAAATGAATGCAGATACCCAGGATCGTTCTGTAGACGGTCTTCGGGATTCCAGAGGATCCAGTGAAGCACTCAAGCCAAGTACCGTAGCCCGTCTTGGACTCCTCCTCAATGACCTTGAACATTTCCTGGAGATCCTTCTCGACGGTCTCGTTGTGCGGATCGTCCTTAAGACCACGGAGGCGCGCCATGGACATGCGAGCGCCTTCCCAATCCTGACGACCTGCGAGCCATCGAGGAGATTCGGGAACGGCGAGGATTCCCAAGCCCAATGGCAGGGAGAAGCCAATACCAAGGCCGATAACGATGCGCCATGAAGCGTCGGACTCCTGGATGTTGCGAACGCCGAAGTTGATCAAGTTGGAAATGAGGATGCCGAAGGTGATGAGAAGCTGGTAGGATGCGACAACAGCACCACGAATCTCGCGGGGAGAGCACTCCGACTGGAACATGGGCACACCGATAGACAAGTTGCCGACTCCCAGACCAGCGATGAAGCGACCCATCATCATGTGAACCCACGAGTTCATGGCTGTGATCTGGATAATGTTTCCAACGATAAAGATACTGACACCAAAACTCAAGCTCCTTCGTCGGCCCCACCAGTCGGCTGTGTAGGCACCTGAGAGCGCACCGATGAGAGTACCGATACTCATGAGCGACACCATTAAGGACTGGGTAATGGGAACCCATTGCGGAATACCGTCGGCGTCTGGTGCACCGGTTGCGAAGCGTCTCTTGAAGTCCGTGAACAGAAGCATAGATGAAATTTGACCGGTGTCATAACCGAACAGGAAGCCTCCTATGCTGGTGATAACACCAAGCAAAAGCGACTCGATGCCGCAGTCGGCGCCATTAATGCGAATGGACCTTAACTTGGGGTTAGTGACTACCAGAGTGTACAGTGCAACGGCTCTTTCTTACTTCTTGCCCAACCCCATGTTTTCAGATGCTCTTGTACGGAATCGAGATCGAGCTTGGGTGGAATCTGGAGCAGTGTGTGAGGGAGCAGAAGCTCTTCGCTCAAGAACTCATGCAGATGTCCTAATAGTCCAGTGAAGGAGTAGCGGAGATAGGATGAAAGGTCGGCTCAAGCCCAGTTGTGTGGGAAAGCCAGAGAGCGTGGGAAGTGATGCTCATGTCTCTCATGTATGCACCGTGATGGCTTTATACTGCAGCCACATCCTGCCACTTCGCAGATGTGGACGAGCCTGAGTCGGCTGACCGACTATAGTGATTGGCAACGATGCTATGACGTTGCCCCAGAGGCCGACTCGGTCCTATCCTTTCTCCATACTGGGGCGCAGACCGGCAAGGTTGATGAAGGCTCGATGGAAGGTGTGGGATGACCTTGGGAAGTCCTTGTTGTATCCGTACATGGACACAATCCACTTTCATCCCACGCCTTCATCTGGGGGAGACAGGAAAGGCGCCACCCACGCGACTGACTGTCGGAAGCCCCATGCATCGACAATCCGGGGTTGGAAGGGCGCCGCGCATTCCACCAAGGCAGGACTTGGTGTCTGCGAGTCGTGCGAGCTAGAGAGCTGGCAGTGCCAGCGAGTTGAAAAGCTCAGATCAAACAATAGACAAGCTGGGCAGGGCGAAAAGCACCTGTTCATGGGGCTCACTCCGTCGACAATGGTTGGGAGACTTGAGGGTGAGGCTTCAGATCGGCTGCTTGGCCCCCGTCATTGCCGACAGCGAGGCAGGGGTACGCGGACATTGGCATACGGAATCGATTTGTGAAGCCAAGACACCGGCTTATGCTGCCAAGATGAGTCCACGATGGGAGGCCAAGCTCTCAAAGCGCGACCGAGTCTCCCTAGAAACTCTGCAAGACTGCTGATTCTTCCACCTAAACGAATGTCAAAGCCTGCAATAGGCGAAGGCGGAACCGGCAACGTGGGGCCGGGTTTGCACAACGCGACGTCTTGGAATTGAACACCAGGAATAAAAAGTAATGACGATCCCCAGACCCTCACGTGCGAGTCAGACAGCGGCGCGACCGACCTGTTTCTGCTTGTTCAGAAGTCCATTGTGCTGTAAGATGCAGCCGGGTCACTGGATTACTCCGAGACAGAATGTGACGTGCCTAGACTGTGAGCGCAACGCGTCTTGTTCAACTTAACTATGGACTTCCAAGACTGCTGGCTGGGCGAATGTTGGCAGTTGGCAAAGTTGTGCTTTTTCAGTCTGGGCAGACTAACAAGTCAATGCCATCCCTGCGATGCCCCCGTAATTCAGCGCGCTGGACGCCTCTGGCATTACCTAAAGTGTTGCTTGTTGCTCCATCTTGAAAAGTTTACCATCGACAGTCAAACAACTGAAAGCATTTCGCTACAGGTTTCTTTGACCCTCATATGAATACTGAGATCGACTTGATGAGAGGAAAGCATAGCTGGCAACTTTGATCTGACAGTTTGCGTCTCGTCCGCTGGACAGCTCCTGTTGGCCTTCTACAATCACACAGGTTCTAGCTTCATGGTCTGATAGCTTCACAGTACAGTTCAAAACTTCCAGTATGTATGCTTCTCCGCCCATAATGCTGGAGCCCCCATGGGACATCCGTTATGTAGCAATACTTCCGACAGCCTCCCATCGGGGCAGCCGGGGAACTTGACCGCCATGCGCGGAGCGTCGGGGCCCCAAATTGCATGCCCCATTCTCCGCAGTTTCGGGGTGGAATGTGGAGTGTAACGGTCCGATTGCGAGTGGGAACCGCCCAAGACTCTCGCTGTATTCAACGGACCGACTCGAACGTCTTTGATGGGGAAAGGAGAAATGATAAATGGAGAGCGATGTCTTGGCTTTCTTGGATTTCACACGTCTGCTACCATCTATTTCGAGTTTTCTCCATCCTTTTGCTCAATCGCTGGGACTGATACCCCAACCATCCCCCAGAATCATGTCCAATTCTCCATGTTTTGCACCATCTGATGACCGTCACAAACTTTTCGGTGCTTGCCTCGATGCCTCCTGTTCATCCCGCACTTCAGTCTCACCGGAGAGCCTCCGAGATCCTCCGCAAGCCTGAGTTTGGGGAGAAAGGGGTAAAAGAGGGTCGTGGTACCACCGAGTCGGTGAGCTTGAGCGTGGCCTCTTCTAGAACAAGTCTCTCACAGGCTGCGGCAGCTGACCGACCATTCTCTCCACTGAATACGGACGCGAGGGTCGGGACGATTCGGAAAAGTGACCACTTTGCAGAACGGAAAACCACCATTGCGTTCCACTTGAGTCTCCTGTGAAAAATTATGCTGATCAAGCGGTAGACAAATGATATTTCATTCTCTTCCGGGCGGCTAGGGCTTGGCTACGATTGTAGGCTGCATATGGCCAACTCGAGGAGGAAACTCTTTTGGGGTTGCTATCTTCCCACAAGGCTAGGGAACCACCTTTTCCCCAGCCGAGAGCATTGAGACCACACTCTCATGTTTGAGCCTCAACCCACGTGAACCACGTTTCCTTCCCTGAAGCCTGGAGAGTGTTCCTGCCAGTAGCCCTTCTGGTTGGTGTAGAGTCGCTTCCCTGTCGCCTCATCCACAAAGTCGCAGTTGAAGTGTGTATGACCGAACGCCCAGACCTTGATATTAGGGCTTTTCCAACAATCTTCGTTTTGCAAGTCTGTTTGAAAGTCAGATTTAATGTCGCTTTGAGCATGACAAGGTTCAACAGCGCGGATATCTTCGGTCGGACTGTAGTGCGTGAAGATGACAATCTTGCGCTCAGAGTCGACGGATATGGCGTTGACTCTGCTGTTCAACCAGGCTAGGTCTTGCTTGTGCAGTTGGCAATGCTCTTCGACAGTCCAGTCATCGATTTCGCGGAAGTCGTTTAGGCTGTTGCTGACTGGCGTCTCTTCGATGATGGGACATTGGAGAATG